TTACACATACAAGGAATTTGCAATGTAGGAGCTGCTCTGGCATATTGTACAGTCATCAAAAAACTAGGATTATATTTACAAATTGTACCTGTTTATTAAGTTAATCCACATCTTTTCCTCTAATTTAACACTATCTCATGGTATTTTTCAAGTATCTTTCTTGAGTTTTCATCATATAAACACAAAATACATAAAAAAAGAAGAAGAAAACATAGAAAACACCAGGGCTGGGCAGTAATATTCCACATTGCCACAAATGGTACAGAAATGTGCCGAACAAGTAAGACAAACAAGTCTCTGTGGCAGTGACAGTAACACCTGATAAACGCTATCTCATGGTAAATGGACTTGAGCTTGTGTAGAGGTCAATTCGCTCTCAGGTGTTCTTTTGACTTTCTCCTTGCCTTCTTCTCTTCTCTCTGTGGGTGTGTGTGTGTTTGTTGTCAGTGAAAACAGCTACACCCAGACGCAGAACAAAAGCAGGCGGGGCGGAGGGAAAAGCTCGTTCAGCCCTTTGAAAAAGTCATCGAAGAAAATATGTGATTGTTTACTTTAAGAAAAGAAAAAAAAAGAAAAGAAAGGTGAGCGTGTTCCCGGAAGTTTCATTTTAGGACAAAACTTGCGTACAAAACTGTCATTCATGTGTCCTTAGCCTCCTAAAGGCCTGCAGTCAGGACTATGGAATAAAGTCACAACACACCTGGAAACATGTCCTTATTTCAAATATTACACTGAATATTATGAAGCATATTTACAAAGGCATTTTGACGCTCTTCTGTGATCAATAAAAAAACAAAAGACTGAAGAAAAAAAGCAAAATATCAACTCCTAAGATTGTACAAAGGCCCAAAATACAGAATTTATTAATAACCTGTGACATAAACACAACACAATATCAACAATATGAAATAAACAACACATAAAACAATCACTAACTGGACTGTCAACTCAACATATAAAGAAAATATGAGTATCAATACAGCAACAATGATAAACACATGATAGAAATTCCAAATTATGAGTCATGTGTCTTAAAGCCTTTATTTGAGTCGACAGAAGTTTGCTATGTTTTTTTTTTTTTTTTAAATATTTATTTAATTATTTTAAATATTTATCTTTTTCTGTTGAGAATGGGCTTTCATACATGATTAGTACTTTCACCCCCCAGTTTCTGGAGAAATAGCTGGTTTTCAGGGACCGGTTCGACTTGCCTGACCCGGCCCCGCCCCCCGAGTGACGATGCAGCCGAACCACGAAGGAGGAGGAGGAGGGGGGGGCGGGGCCTAACATGTACAGTCTATGGGGCGGGACAGGTAAAGAAGAGAAAGAGTACAAGAGTGTTTTGATGTGTTCAACGTGTGTCGTCGCCATGTGAAGGATGGAAACGAGCGAAGTTTGTGTTGTTTTTTAACGAGCTGTCGTCGCGTTAGTGTCCGCGTTTATCCGGCGGGGGAACTCAACCATTTTGTTTTTAAATAAGTTAATTTTCCGTGTTTTTTTTTTTTTTTTTTTTCTAAACTGCGCAAGGCACGGGTTTTTTTTTTGTTTTTTCCAAGAAGTGGTTAACGTTCAACACGTCACCAACTCTCCTTACCTTACTTTTTTTTTTAACTTTTATAACTCTTCACTTCAACACTAAAAAAGGACTTATTTCCCCCCCACACATTTTAAGGGCTATTTTACAGGAAAACTTCGCCTGTCAGGATTCGATCCGTCGCCATGGAGAAGCTCGACGGTCACTACGCAACGAACGAGTTTCGTCATCCGTTCTACCACGAAGTGAAGATGACCCCGGCGCAGAAGATCAGGGTAACGTCGCCGCGTTTAAACTGTGCCTGCAAAAACAATGGGCGCTTAATTCAACACAAGTTCGTGTGGGGAAGAAAAACAAACAGCCAGGGGCGATTCTAGGGTCTGTAGGGGCCCTGGCAAAAAAAAAAAAAAATCCACCTGGGGCCCCTCCAGCCAGCTTTCATTGTTATGAACGCTTTATTACTCTTTTTTTTTTTTTTGCAGGGGTTTGCGTAGGGGCGAACCCGAACCCTAAAGGCGGATAATTCCTCTTAATTTCCCTTAATTGACACATTTTGGGTTTCACAGCAATAATGCCAGCGACGCTCAGCAGGGCGTTGAGAGTGAGTGCTGTCCGATGGGGCCCCCTTAGGGAGGTTTCCTGCTGCCATTGCAAAGTTTGCACAATTTGAGGCAGTGCTGTGGTTTTTAAAGCTTGTCAGCCTGCCTTGCCGAATGACAAGCAGCGCCTCTAGTAACAGCAGACCGACAGGCTGTATTGGGCTGAAGTCTAACTCCTAATGGCTAAAATAGATAAATAGATAAATAGATAGTTTATGGATCCTGAGGGAAATTCAAAGCATCCAGCTGCAGGTTACAGAGACGTGCATGACATGAAACATTTGTTACAAATTAAACCACAAAATCTTCCCCCTAACTAACCACCAGAATGTGATCAGGAAGTAACTCACACCTGTCAAACTTTCTT